GGTGGCATCAAGGAGAACTAAAAAATCCACCTGGTAAAGCTTAGAGAATGTGTGAACAGAAAATCAGGGGACAGCCTTGCAAATTTGGGAAATAGTTGCTTGATGTTGAAAAAATGAGAGGCAAAAAACAAGGAGGTGTGTGTGTTTTGCCAGGAAATAGTAGAGCCCTATCCTAAAGACCATAAGTGTAAATGATGATTTGACTGAGCCACCCAGAAACGGTGGTATGAGAAGCTGGTTATGCTTTACAGGTGAGTAAGTCTTTCCATCAGAGGCAGTGCCTGTGAGGTAGACACAAACAGCTTAAACTACAGACAGATAATGGGTTAATTACAGGACAAAGCTGCACGTTCAGACACATACCTTGCAACGTTGATAGCAACAAGGAAAACAACATTATGAGTGAGCATGGAAAGGGGAATATCTCTGATAGGTTCAAAGAGTGGAAAAACAGGTGGGTGCAGAGGGGGAGCCACATTAGAAGCACCCTCTATGAATGTCTTAATCAAAGAATGACTGGTAAAACCCAAAATTTGAACACTTTTTGATGGTTCTGCAGGGTGCTCAGTGGACTAACCTGGGGCTTTAGTATGTGTACAAGTTATACTCCCATGGTATTTTCAAATCCTTCTCTATGCTAAAACAGGAACTGAGAATTTCTGAGACCTGGCACTTTAAAAAGGTTCAACTCGCATATGTGGCTGCAGTTCAGCTTGATTTAAATAATGCAGTCTTTCATCCTTCCATATTAAGGTGCCCACACACCTTGTGGGCACCTTAATGCCCACAAGGTGTGTGGGCAATCCCGCGATCGTACGATTATCGCAAGGTGTGTGGAAGGCGTGCAACCGTTTCTACTGTACGGTCACACAACTTTTATCTTAGGAACATGTTTGAAAACACGCCAAGAATCGTACGATTGTCGGCGGGTGTGTGGCATGCTTGTAAGATAAATGCCGAACGGGCCGGTGTGCGCAAGAGCACACTGCCCGTTCAGCATTGCGTTCATCGGAAGCCTGCCCCTCGGCGGTGCGGGCTTGTGATTATCGCAAGTACGATCTGCCTGTCCAAGATGGGCAGATCGTACGTTTTTTTAATGACCTTACAACCATCGCAAGACAAAAGTCTTGCGATGGTTGTAAGGCGTGTGGCCAGCTTTAGAGACTGCTCTTCTTCAGCAAAGCCCTCCAAGGTTTCTGGAATACAGGAACACAGATATCCCAGACCTGACTGAGCAAGAATGAAATACATTTTCTTACTACTATTTTTGCAAAGATAAATTCATTCAATTAAAATATTTTCATAGTGCGTATTTCAATTCTGCCCATCTGTTGTAAAATGGGCAAATGACACACCTCTTTTTGTCACAAATGCCAGGTGTCAGACAAAGATATTCTACACATGGTCTGGGGATGCTCTAAAATTAGACCATTTTGGTTGCAGGTTACTGAATTTGTTTCCCAAAACTTTTTTCTCCCTAACATATGTAATCCAAAATGGTGTCTTTTCGGTATCTTTGGTAAACTGGTTTAGACACTGGCAAAAAACCTTTATATGACTTAGTTTTTATGCTCCAATAAACTGAGGTACTAGATATCAATACCTGGAAACATCTCCCTCTTTATAGAAGATAACTGATCAGTTTTATTGGCCAGGATTGAAGGCTGAGGTTAAGATATACTGGGGGAATCAAAGCATTTGCAACAGTTTTAGCCTCTTAGATATTTTTTTTTATATGCAATTCTGTCTTTATTTTTTAACATGTGCGCCTGTTTTGATCAGAGCTTGCACTATTTTTCCAGTTGCATGTGTTTTGTGCCTGTTTTACAAAAGTTTGCAACTGTTTATATCTGCATTTGTTCTGCGGCTGTCTGAAACTGGAGCATCACCTAACAAAACAATCACAACTTGACCACTTCTTCAAGAAGCGACAGTTAAGCTTTTTGCCGGGAGTTTACGAGAATTTGTTCCTGGAGTCTTACACCAGCAATATAAATCTGGCGCAAAGTGCGTCAAATATATTCCGTGCAAGTTCAAACACTCACAATTGCTATGATATATTCACCCCACTGTGTTTCCTGCACCACTTCACAGTTAACTGCTTGACTGTGTGTCACACTTGAAAACCCCTTGGCATCTTCACCTTTTGAGTGGATTGCAATGGATCTGGTTGTTCCCCTGGTGAAGGCAGCCCAAAGACACCAACTTGATTATGCAACTAGCAGGGTTATTCACAAAAGGGTGAGGAGTTTGGCGAAGGCAGGAGAAGTGAACAATCTAGGACAACATAGCTGAACTGGAAAGTAAGCTGAATTGGAGAATCTTTCCAAATCAGTTATTTTGTCCTAGATTGTTCACTTCTCCTGCCTTCTCCAAACTCTTCACCCTTTTGTGAATAACCATTTAGGTTTCTGAAAGCTATTCCTCTAAAGAAATATTTTATCTAAAACAATTGTACACGAATTGTACTGTATACTCCCAGAGATAGGATTTTGCAAGGAGATACTGACCAACCAGGGCAATACTTTTATGCCAAAAGTGATAGCAGATTTGTGCAAACTGTTCCAAATGAAGCAGTTGTGCACTTCTGTCTATTAGGGATGGGCTCGATGTTCGAGTCAAGCAAGAGTTCGACTCGAACTGTCAGGGCGTTCGCGGGCTGTTAGCCCGCCGAGTGCCCCACAAGACACTGCGCACCGCACAGTGCCTTGTGAGCCCTGATCATCTAAGGCCTTGCACCTGACCACCCAATCAGGGCACATTACTCTGTAAGAGCCATGATTGGGCAAAGTAATAATGACTTTGCCCAATCATGGCTCACCTGTCAGATGCTGTACAGCTGTAAACAGTAGAGCGGAGCTAGCTAGCCGTCACTGCTAGCTCCGCCCAATTGTTTATATTTTGCCGGCATCAGAGTTCTGCAGCGGGAGCTCATCTTGAGAGGACGGGTTGGCGGGCATTGTCTTTTTTTCTTTCTATTTTTTTATTTTTATTTTGTATTTTGCCCAGTTGTCATCGTTGTAGACAATGCTGGATGGCATGATTGACCCTGGATTACGTTGGTGGATCAATTTTTATTTTTAATAAAAGACTTGTCAAAAACTTGTCTTTTATTTTTTTTTCACTTAAAGGATTTTTTTCAAAAGTCTGACCTCTTTTTTAAAACTTTAATGTAACCCTTTAGTGAATGGGTAGGAGTAAAAGTACCCCTTACTCATTCACAAGGGCGGGGGCCGCATCTGGGTGCCCTTTATTAAAGGGATACCTGTGACGGACCCCCGTACTCAGGATGAGTATGTCCGCCGCTGTCTTCTTCTTTGCTGAGGAGATATTGCAACCTGAAGATCCTTAGCTCCCAGTTTCCCCAGTCACTAGTCGAGGCTCGAGTGTAGGTGAAACAAACTCTGATTTATTGAGCAACTGCACAAACTTTTATACAGCAAGTGATGAGATCAGAATATAATCCCATCACATCCACCCTCCCCTCCCAGACAATCGGTCTGCTCAACACCACAGGGCTTCCCCTGCTAACGAGCTCCAGACAGCCATAGCAGGAGCCTGGCCAAAATGTCATTGTTCTGAGCTCCCTCAGAGAACAATGGGAGATAAAGAGGGATGGTGCTGATAGTCTTTCCATAACCAGGTTACTCAGTATAACGCACTCAAACATAACTCAACACCAATACACATTTAACTCATAAAACTGATCACCATGTCGTCACAGTACCCTGATGTGAATATGCCCCCTTGCCCACACCCCCACAACCAACACCCCTGGGCTTGTGGGGAAGAGGCCCTTGTCCCCATCAGCACGGGCACAATGTGCTTTTCCAGGGGTGACCCTGGAAAAGCACCCTCCCAGTGCCGAGGGCATGTGGCCTGGTATGGCAGGGAGGGGGGGCGGTCACTCGTCCACCCCCTTTCATTGCCCTGCCAGGCCTGTGCTCGAATCAAGGGTCTGGTTGGGAATTTTAGGGGGACCCCATGTTTCCCCCCTCCCCACTTTTGTTTTTTGTGGGTGGGTTTCCTCAAAATTCCTACCAGACCTTAAGGGCCTGGTATGACTTTGAGGGGGCACCCCATGCACTTTTTTTTTTATTGTAACTTGGGGGTCTCTCCTAAAATTCCTACCAGACCTAAAGGGTCTGGTATGACTTTTGGGGGGAACCCCACGCTTTTTTTTCCCTTTCTTTTCTTAAATGTCATTTTTGTCATTTTTGCTGCAGCAGGTTCTATACATTTTACAGATATGCCACTTTACAGGCAGTTTAAGGGGACACACCCCCCCCCCCCACCGGCACGATG